GTATATAAAAAATATTCAGTCAATCAATGTCCACCCTAATTTCTATCACTAACACCATATTTCCTAACTGCTATTCCTTCCTCATTGTTTCCAGTTTTTGCATTCCAGTCACCAATCATTGTTCATTATTTAATAACTAATTGCTTATATATTGTTGTTGTTATGTGCCATCAAGTCAACTGCAACTTAAAGTGACCCTGTGTACAAAAGCTCTGAACCCTGTTCTATTCTGAGCCAACATTATTGGCTTTGACACACTTACCACCATTACCCTAGTCACTGAGTGAACACATCTCATCAAGGATCTTCCTCTCTTATGCTCTCTCTCCACCCTCCCAAGTAAAGTGTTCCTCTCCAAGGACTGGTCTCTACTTACAGCATGCCCAAAATATGTGAGACAGAGCTTCAGGATCCTTGCCTCCAAGGAGCAGCCTGGTTTCACCCTCTCCAGAAAGAACCTGTTTGTTGCCTTCACAGTCTATGGTATATTCAATACTCTTCTCTAGCACCACAGCTCAAAGGCATCAATTTTCCTTCTATCATCCCTAGTCTTTGTCCAGCTTTCTGATGCATAGCACGTAATTGCAAAGATCCTGGCCTGGATCAGGTGCACCTTAGTCTCCAGGCTAATGTCATTGCTCTTCAGTATTCTGGAGCAGTCCCTGACAGTAGACTTTCCAGTGCAATTCGTCTTTTGATTTCCTGGCTGCTGGTGCCAAGATTGTGGAGCTAACAAACAAATTTAAACTGTTAACCATCTCTGTCTCTTCACCATCTACCATGATGCTGCTAATTGGCCCAGTGGTAAGAATCTTTGTTCTTGATGTTGAGCTTCAATCCGTATTGAAGTCTGTAGTCCTTGACCTTCTCAGCAAGTGCTTCCAGTCTTCCTCAGTTTCAGCAAGCAACATTATGTCATCTGCATAACACAGATTGTTAATGAGTCTTCTTCAATCCTGATGCCACACTCCTCCTCATGGAGCCCAGCCTCCTGGATGATCTGTTTTACATTTAAGTTGTAAAGGTATGGAGATAGGACACATCCCTACCATAAAACATTTTCAAGAAATTAAGGAAGCAGCATGGGAAGACACAGCAAAGTATTATAATGAAATTTGCAAAGAGCTGGAGTCAGAAAATCAAAAGGGCTAAGCTCACTCAGCATTTATTAAGCTGAAGGAATTGAAGAATAAATATGGTCAGAATATTGAATGATCCAGGAAGCATGAAAAGAAGATGGAAGGAGTATACAGAGTCACTAAACCAAAAGGAATTTTCTGACACAGAAGAATTTCATGAAACAACATATATGTGCAAGAGCCTGTGGCGATGGAGGAAGAAGTTTAAGCTGCTCTGAAAGAATTGGCAAAAAACAAGGCCCCAAGAATTGACGGCGTATCAATTGACATATTTCAACAAACAGACGCTGCCCTGGATGCACTCACGAAAGTTGTTCCAAGAAATCTGGAGAACCACCTGGCCAACCGACCGGAAGAGATAAAAATTTGTTCCCATTTCAAAGAAAGGTGACCCGACAGAGTGCAGAAATTATTAAACAATATCATTGATATCATATGCAAGCAAGGTTCTGCTAAAAATTATTCAAGAACATCTGGAACAGTACATCAACAGAAAACTGCCAAAAGTACAGGCTGGATTTAGAAGAGGCTGGGATATTATAACTAATGTCAGCTGGATCTTGGCTGAAAGCAGAGAGTACTAGAGGAATGTCTATCTGTGTTTCATTGACTAGGCAAAGGCATTTTGACTATGTGGATCACAACAAACTGTGGCTGTTTCTGACAAGAATGGGAATCCCAGAACACTTGATTGTGCTTAAGTGAAACCTGTACTTGGACCAGGAGGCAGTCGTCAGTCTTTACTCAGCTGTTACTTTTCTCAGTAAGATTTCTTCTGATTACACTATTTAAAATTGGAAACCACCAACTGACTACCAAAGAATACACACCAGAGAGGTCCCTATCCCTTGTGCCAAGAAATTATCAACTCTTTACTTTCATATTTCTACCTTCATATCATTAGTGTTTCATACCAGTAATATTTTCATCTTAAATGACTCATTATTTCCTTGTAAAAATAAGAAAATGGCCATGTGGAGAAAGTCCCTAAAGTGGCAACTGAGTTTGGATGTTCCTGTGTCTTAATCCCAGAGCAGCCCCGCCTCTCACAAAGAACACCTGCCTCTCTCTAGATCAGTATCTTCCTAATAGCTGACCTGGGTCTTTTCCTCTCTTTGAGAATGTTTTCCTGTCTGGGGCTAAAATAGGAAACCGTGACAAATCGTTCTCTTGTAGGTTTTTCATATGACATGGAAGCAGGAGATGTTCATTTGAAAGCAAGAGAAATACTCTCATCTCTTTGCCGTGCCTGAGCCAGGTAGTAGTGGAAAAAGCTGCTTCAGCATAACATTATCATCTTTTTTTCAGGATTTTCACACATAGATTTTAATTAGCTCTGGTGGTACAGTCCTTAGGGAGTTATACACAGATTTTATTTAGTGCTGAAAGCATAGTCACCATAATTTTGCACACAGATTTTAATTAGCTCTGGTGGCATGGTCCACAGGGAGTTGCATTACTAACCCAAACACCACATAGCTATGGTAGTTTGTGCCCACCAGCACCTCCACAGGAGAAAGATGAGCAGTCTCCCCTCATTTGATTTACAGCCTCGAAAATCTGTTGAAGGTCAGTTATGAATTAATGGTGACTCATTAACAGTCAGAGTGAGATAATTCAATCAAGTCATCTTTGGAATTTTTTTTTAAAAAATAAGCGGAACGAGCAGTATTACTGAAGTAAGGATATGGTTGAAATGTAAAAATAATGTTTGTTACAGTTGTTTGTTGTTGTTATGTGTCTTTAAGTCACCTGTGACTCATAGCAACCTATGTCAACAGCCCTAAACCCTGCTCTATCCTGTGCCAATCTTATTGTCTCCACCACACCTA